AATAATATTATAAATATGTTTTATAAGGAATTCAAAATTATTCTGACTCCGGTTTCATTTGAATGTAGTATAACTTTAGAATCTTAGAACTTTCAAATCATTGTTTTATCTGTCTTATACAAATTCAAATAAAATAGTCTCGTAAGAAACTGAATGCACTTTGTCAGAGTTCCTGACAACAGAATGAAGACAAATTAACTTACCTAATGGAATCACAATTGATGGATACGAAAATCCAGGACAGAACAATTTGATTTACGATTTGCAAATAACGCTAGGACACTTTACTTTAAACTTTCTTATATAACTGATCATCGTTTTCAAACTAACAGACCAAAAATTATATGGTTTCAGATTTAATAAGATCTTACCAGTTTCTCTACAACTTAAAATATACGAGTACCATATCTATCTATAAGTATTAAACCAGTCTGCGTTTTCGGTATTTTTTTAAGAACCAATCGTTTCTCTGAAATATCCCGTATGTATATATATATATATATCGGCGCTACCAGCTTTAATAACGGATGTGACTTGAAAATAATTCGATACTGTCATCAATTCTTATTAAACCTCATTAGTATTTATGATTATTGTTAAAACTTAAAAGTAAAACGAAATCAAAGGTTGCTTAAAAGTAGAATATAACTATGTTTAAATCTTGGTATAAATATGACGTCTGGACGCACGACGGCAGAATTCAGAATTGAGAATTCAGAGTTCAGTGAGTGCGTATCATTGAAGTATGTGATTATGAAAAACCTTCTATGTAGAAATACAGGAGCATTAAGAACAATTGCAGTTTTATTTTAAAATATCATGCAACGCTCTAGAAGAAGTGACATTTGTAATGTCAGCGAGGCTGGCGTCCCTCTCTTTTAAAAACAACGAATATGTGTTAAATCTGGTATATATGTGTAAGTATATGACAATAAAACCAATCGTTCAGTGTTACAAAAGCTGTCAGCTGATTTAAAGCTACGTCCGCAACATAACCAGTCTCTGGAAAAATGTCGTGTGGGACTTTAAAAATATTAAAATCGTACAAAATAGAAAAGAATATCAACTTGTATTCTCATTGTTATGTTTTTCGGGGCATGGTGTGAAAAAAATATTATATTAAACAAATTTACAGATCAAGTATTAATATTCAATTCATTTATTTTAAGAATGAAAACTGGTTTTCGATCTTAGTATTTTTTTTTAATGAAAATCCTTTAAAATATCCAAAACCATCTTGCTAGTATTAAAACAGAAAATAAATAAATGCAGAAAAATAATACTGAGTAGGTACATTTAAAAAAATATTATCATCTTTAAAAATGAAAACACATGAAAATTAATTAATATATCACAATGAATAATTTAAAATAAATAAGATCAGTCATTATGATGACAAATAAAATATTTTATGTAAAATAATTTAAGAAGCCGCAATAAATGCGGAAACATTAGTTTTATTTAAATGAATACTGGCAAGTGTTAGATCAATAATATTTTAAAAATATTAAAAATAACATTCATTTAATTTTCTCTACTTTAAAACAATACTTCCATGAATTAAATTTCGATAATATTACTTTATATTTTTTTTAGACGGAACGAAAAAAGAAACAAAAAAGTTGATACAATTTATTCTTAATCTATATTTTTATACCGATTTTTCCACAGCATAAAAAATTGTAGTATCCAGTTGCAATACTCTTTCTTCTTAAAACGTCGCTCCTCAGAGGTCGGCACACTCAATGGACAGCAAATTGAAAAGTTCAAATACGAACGCAATCTCAGCTGAACGACTCAAACAGATTCCACTGATTCCTTCACAACTTTACAACTTCTCGGAATATAAAATTTTAGAAGACCGTCTTATATTTTACTTGAAAAATTAAATCAATCCCTTTGTTATCTTTGAAATTGGTTTAAGCAAAGAAAATAGATCATTTGTTCTCAATTATGTAAAGTGTATTCAATTATTATGTTTTTAAATTCGATAAGTCTTGTATTTGAATAAATATGTCTCGACTTTTGAAGAATAAATTTATTTTTCATTTGCAAAACAGCATATTATTTATAAAACCAGAAAAATTATAATAATTTTAATTTTAATAAAACATGGTATCGTTTTAATACAAAATAAAGAAACAACATTTGCATTCTTTATATTTCTTGATAACAAGTCTTCCAAAACTTGAATAATCTTATAGTATAAAACCACTCATTTGTAAAATGTTATTTGGGTACTGTTTAAAAAAGACAATGTTTTAGTTGGATTATTTCCAATTCAATGCGGTAAAACTGCGGTAACAACTACTTACTCCTTTAAGTTATTAGGCAAATGTGATATTCCGTCTCCTCGCATTTTCTTGTGTTATATTAAATTCCATATTTAAAGACATCTGAACAAAGAAATGTTTCTATAACATTAATATCAGATAAAAGAGATAAAAAGAGTAGATTATCGTAATTTACACAGAAAATATTTAAAATGTTAAACATATGTATCATTTTCATGACTTTCCATCTACATTTTGAACGCAGATTTGGTAACGCTAACAGTTTCTCAGTAATGAAACTTCACATATGATATCAAAGATGCAAATTCGTAGTACCCAAGCACTTTGTAATCTTTGGTAACGCATCGCTTTACTTATTACATGTCACTATCAAAAAGTATATATCTGATTAGAACTATGAAAGGTTTAAATGGGCAGACCCTGGCTAAAACTGGGAAATTGCCAGAAAGAAAAAAAAAAAAGTTTAAATAAATACATTGCTTTATATCTATTTTCTGAAAGGTATGGTTCTGGTAACAATAATATATATTTCTTTAATGGAGAAAAAAAGAGTTTTTACTATAAAAATAACCTACTATTGAATTTTATGTATAGTAGGTATAGTGCATAGGAATGAGTCTTAATCCGGGTACAGGTAAATAAGTATTATAAAGTTATTTCAAAGTTATATATTTATATATAATATACAGGGATAAATAAACCCACACAACTCATTACAATACAGACCAACCTACATAATAAAATATTTTTAGAACTGCTTTATTGAGTCACGACACAATAATTTTCCTAAATCAAACATATTTTCAACAACTTATGTTGGTTATTACCAAATTACCATAAAGCCAACGAACTCTAACACTCTAAATAGGTATCTATAACTAAATAACTACAATAGTCACTTATTCGGCATAAGCTAAACTACGAGAACAGAAAAGAGGCACATTTATTTGACAAAAGATCTTTGTTTTCCAAAATAGTCCAGATGTATTCATATGTAATCGTTTTCATTATTTGTTATTAAAACTAGAGTTACAAAGCATACATTGATTGAACCTTTGTAAGAGACTTTGTCGAGTTTTTATTCTTGTCACGGGACTTTGCGCTTAAGCTGGTGTACACAGGTCATTCACTTTATATGTACAAATAGGGTTCAATTTTGATTTATTTCTCGTGTCAGGCCTTAATACCCCTTCTGTTTAGCGTAATTTTTTGTATCTCATTGATTTTTAAGTGTACCGATGATAATTATGACCGATTTTTCCAACCACAAAGTAATAATTCGTGCTTGCTTTGCGTAAATGGAACTCGTCCAGACGATATCATTACTACTATTGAAGTTATGAATTTTCCAGCTTATTTTCTAGACACCTATTTTTATTAAATTTTCCATAGTCAAAGGATAAAACAATCCTAAAATTATAATCTTTGCTGATCTTTGTAAAGAAAATATAAATTACCCAAGGTAAACTCATGATGTTAAATGTTATGTGATGAATTGAAAAATAACAAAATATATACATATACGTATATGTAATATGTCAAAATATATAAGTGAACTTTCACTTTCACCTACATTAGACACACGGATTCTAGTAAACACTCCTAAGACAATACGATTTAACAATTAGACCTACTTTTATTTAATTTAAAATTGTAATGAAAGAACTTTGGTTAATTTCCATCATATAAAATATTAAAAAACATTGCATAATTCGTTTTTTCAAAGCAGTTACAGAATTTTCGTCGTATTCCTTTTCTTTACAATTTTATGTATTCTTCTGCCAGATTATGTCTTCTTATTAAGAGAATTTGGAAAAAGAAAAATATGCATAGAAAATCTTAAACATTTACTAAAATTTACCAATTTCACAAGTATATTAACAAATTATTCAAATATATTTATTTTAAAAATGTTAATCTAATTGATTCAAAAAGCAGTTTTCCCAACTTTTTCTTAATACAATAAGAATAATCCCTAACTCGTTGAGATATTGCATCTTAGTTTATCTACTAATTTCATATATTACTCGTTTCAAAGAAAATATTTGGATAAAACGTATGATGGACAAACAAACCTTATTTCATTTATACACGATTGAAATCAAAAAGTTTTTATGAAAAATTTATGATTATATTTTCGTTATTTTATAGAATACTTTGTATTATAATATTTATTATATTCTCTAAGTTCTTGGGTTTTATAATTTGTGTTACATACTAATTAATTAAATAATTTCTAACCTTCGTGACATTTGTCATTACTGACATATATTATACTGACGTATGACGCATGTGTTATTAAATGAAAATCAGCTGTATTTAAAATAATATATAAATCATAATAATATTGTGAAATAAAGAGCAATATAATTTGAACGCTTATCATTTCGTTCTTGTCTATTATATATTCTATAGTTCGCGTGCTAAGTGAAGATAACAGTTCGTTTTGAAAACTATTCTAAAGTATTCAAAATTGATAAAAACTGTGATTACATACATAGATAAAGGCTGTGAAACCACAAAAATATATTTTTAGTTGACTTATTTGATCATACATAAATGTGACATCATTTGAATTAGTTAAAACATGGTTGAGTGTAAAAGTTAAAGCAACGCAGTATTGTTTTTAATATTTATCAGAAGACAAACAGTTAGAATAGAAATATATAGTAATATATAAAAACTTTGAGGAATTTTAAGGTTAATATGGAAACTTTTCAAGGAGACGTAGATAGATATAATGGAGTTACAGTGGATACTCGGGAAGAAGTTTTTATTCCTGAACTATTTCATGACAAACTAATGGGTAATAAATTAAAATATTTTATTTCAATGTAATGACGCTTTATTAACCATGAACTCAAAGTTATGTAATGTATTAGAATATTTCTTCTAAATGGTAATAACATTCCAATGTTTTTATTTCATTTAAGATTATTACTGCATTATTCATCAACTGCATAATATATTTGCTATTAATTATATTTTGTGGCTGCCATTTATAATTTATTTTTGTTTTAGATTCCCTACAAAAATGGCATGATGAAAGCAGGAGATGTATTTGGTTCAAAGTTGATATCAAAGATGCAGCATTTGTGCCGATTTTAGCTAATGTAAGTTGTATACAAATATTTTATTGTTCTTGAGACTACTTATGAACTATTTTAACTTCTTGAAATTACTCGAAAATCAGATAGCTGAAACTAAGACAGCAGACATTTTTTTTACACATTCCTATAGTACGACTACCTAATGGAATGGCTGTCTGAAAATCCATTCATTAAAAGCTACTTAAAAATATCTTATTTGGTTATAGAGTGTCATAAAAGGGCTAATTAATATTTTATTTAATTAATATTTCCTTATGGGTTATAAAGCAATATAGACCTCTTGGATTTTTTTGTAATAAATATGAATCATTTTTAATGTTTAACAACATTTCCTGCTTATGAATCATAAGTTATAATAATCCATTGTTTTTATTACAGCAAGGCTTCAATTTCCATCATTCCAGAGACAGCTATGTTATGATGTACAAATGGCTGCCGACAGATTCTGTTTCTAACTTACCACCCGCCTGTCACACCAATCTAGGTGTCGGTGGTATTGTCTTGAATGACAACAATGAAATACTTGTCGTCAGAGAATTACATATTAAATATCCACATTGGAAACTTCCTGGTGGTTATGTTGAACGAGGTAAATTTTTAAAACAATTTCTCATCATTATCAGCCTATTAGAGCCCATTACTGAGCAAAGCAATCTCACATGGAGAAGATTTGAGCATTAATCACCACCCTTGCTCAAGACGGGTTGGTGATTTCAAACTTATAATTGGAAATTATAAGTCCAGGTTTCCTAACCATGTTTTTCTTCTCTGTCTGTCAGTGGTGTCTAAATACTCTTAATTCTAAGAGAATTTATCATATCATTGAATAATTTTTACTCAGTTAATTTCATCGTATCAGGGAATTAATTTATGAGTTACTTTAACTTTGAGATGAAACCATGACATGACTTTTATATTATGTAATGTAATTATTTTTTTAATTTCTGTTCTTATTAAGGCGAAGATATAAAAGACGCTGCAGTTAGAGAGATCAAAGAGGAAACCGGTGTGGACGCGACGTTTGAAACAATGGTCACACTGAGGCACGCTCACAAAATGATGTTTGGCAACTCTGATATATACGTCGTTGTCAAACTGAAAGCTACTTCCACGGAAATAAACAAATCCGATATAGAAATAAAATCATGTAAATGGATGAAAATAGATGAATATATGAACCATCCACACGTTCACGAGTTCAATCGTTCAGTCGTACAACAAGCGTTGGATCTGGACACACGAAAGATCAAGTTGGACCTCATCAAAGAAAACCACGCCGTTGTAAACAAAGAAATCACCGTTTTACGTATACAAGATAAAGAGGAATGATATATTATAAATACACATGTATATATTGTATTAAATAAATCAATCAATCCAACTATATTTATATATTTTCCTAAATAAAATTTAAGTTTTTAAATAGTTCTAACCGTTTTTGAACATATAAATGTTCGGTTATTAGTTAAAAAAAATGTTACTGTTAAAAATTTATAGGCTTATTATTAAAAAGTAATTAACTGCCATTCTAAAAGACTACACGGTGTTCAATGCAAAATAAATTGTATGTTTGTATGAGGGTAGCTTTATATGTGTCTTGTCGCATATTTATAGTATATAAATAGTTACCAAAATCAGAGATTTGGAATAACAGCCAAAATCAAAATTCATTAAATAAACTGACAAAATGTCTTAAACTAATAATTGATAAATGTGTTACAAAGTCAGATTAGTCAATTTAAATACTTTACTTTATCAGACTAAATGGGGGGGGGGAGGAAAGGAACCTGCTAAAAGGTCAGAAATTATATAAAAAGCAACAAAATTCTATAGAATATTGTACTTGAATCATGACACTTCCATGCTAGCGTAATTGACAAAGAGGAGTTTCAGAACAGATTTTTTTAAATACGCAAACTGTATTTAACTGTACTTCTATATATGAGATTTATTTCAAAAGGAAAATATCATTACAATAAATAAACTCAAAAATCAAAGAAACACGAAGAAACAAGAAAAACAGTTGTGGACCTGTTAGTTTCTTTTAAAAGAGTTAAAACTTCTTATTAGTGCTTCTAAGGTAAACGAATAAAAGAATTAATATCATTAAAGATAAATAACCAGCTGGTTTTAAACCAGATATTCAACCATTGACCATATCCATATAACCACTGTTTATTAAAAGGAATAACAAAAATTACTTGAACTTTCTAACGACTCTTAAAAATACTACAATAATATGAACCTCAATGATCTCGCAAGCTTGAAAATATCTGGAAGTAGTCTTACAATTTAGAAGTATTATATATAAATTTGTACACATATACAATGATCATTAAGAAGATTGTCACAAAAAAAATAAACAAAATTTCTTCAATGACTCGAGATTTAAATCTACAAGTGAAGTGAAGAATTCTTGTTAAATCTCATATTTGTACATCCTATTATAATTTCAAAATCCAAAGACACGATCCAAAAACTTAAACTTGTAAATTGAACAGAATAAATGAAATAGCAGGGCTGACTGGGTGAATATAGAGATCAAAACAAATCGAGGCAATACAATGAAAAAATATGTATTAGACCTAGGTAAATAAATTAATATTATATACCAATAAGGGGTATATAAAACGATTTAGAGTCAGAAATAGCATAAATGATCATCTACCAAACTGCAAAATGACCCTACAAGACTCCAAAGAATTCCTTGTGATATAAAGCACAATTTTTTTTTAATAAACGCCACAAAAACATGAAAGGCTTTGGTAGTTGGTACCCACAAAGCAAAAAAAGTGAATATTCATGAAGCAAATAGACTGAATAAAATAATAATATGCAAACAGAAATAGAGGCATTTTTAAAGGTGGTAGAGCCTAGCTGTGGTCAAGTTACTGCAGCTCGAACATGGGCTATTTTACCGGGGAAGTACCACCCTCTCACAGAAATTCGGCGTGAAGTGTCAAGTAGTCTTAAATGGCTGAGTTTCATCCTATTGGTGAGAGCGTTTGCCTTTCCCTTTTTCCACCTTTTTCTGTACTTTCCCTTTTTCCACCTTTTTCTGTACTTTCCCTTTTCCCACTATTTTATGTCACTCTTCAGTCTTTCCCGATCAAGTGTAGCAACGCATCCACGAAACTATGTCGCGAATGTCCATAGGCGACGGTAAGTACCTCCATCAGGTAAGCCGTTTGCTCGTTTGCCCCTTTTAGCATAAGAAGAGATTTGTATAAAGACAACCGCAATATAAGAATAACAAGCGTGGCACAATATGACTAGAAAACATCAAGGCAATGGCAAATAATAAGTGGAACAGAATATGTAGAAGCAATAACCAATGAAAGCAGTTGTCATGACACAATAATATTAAAACACATTGAAAAATTCCTAATTAGAAACTAATTATCCATATTTTTTAACAATAAAAGATATATTACACAAAAAGAAAATAACGTAAACTATGAATACCGAATAAGAAATTTATTAAATGAAAATAAATTTTAATCAAGACTCCTTTCTTTTGTAGCCGCTAATCATTATTTTAATGGCTTCACTTGTTAATTAGCGAGTTTTATTAAATTTTATACCGATCGTCCTTCACGCTTCGTGGAATCAAGTAGATTACCAATATCATACAAAAATTGCCTTTTTTCTTTTATTAGAACTGGATATTACTTTTCTACCTTCTCAACTGATGTAATCTTATATGGAAAGAGCATGATATAAGGCCTATTCATATTCCGTAATATTTCAATATTTTAAGTGACACCATGCAGGACATATAAGTAAACAAATAGGCAAATCCTTTCTTACGAATCAGGAAGGAAAAAAAGAAATATCTTATTGATATAATGAAGGCTTAAAACAATTATAATAATCACTGAGAGGAAAATAAATGTTACAGAATTTATATTTAAAGATAATAGAATCTCATTTCTGTGTTGACAGTGCAAAAATACAATGAAACATGTATAAAAAAGTGTACTTTTGAATTAAGACTTAACTTATTAGCAGTAACCAATTTGAAGTTGACTTCATGTCATAGTGCAGTAGAAATATAAATTATATATACACCGCATAAACATTTTATTAATCCATATCCTTATATTAAAATATAGATAAGAAATACATAAAATACATGTAGTAAATATTATTTAATAAATAAAAATTCAAATAGAACATATGGTAAATTGTTATTATCTATATAGTACAATTACTTTCTATGATGACTTTAAAACAATCATTTACAATGCGTGTACAACTGTGAATCTATATGCATACATCTATAAAGAAAACTGCAAGGAATTTCATGTTAATAAGCATCGATTCTACAGAGGACCTAAAGTTTGAAACACCACATTTAATAACTTTCACCAAATATACAAACAGTTCGGTTACATTGAGAGAAATCCTAATCTAGATCCGGTATCGCTGCACTTCTCATACCACCATCATCATCCGATGAATCAGCATCAACATCACCTATTATAGATTTGAGTAGACCTCCAATGACTGAGTTGGAATTTCTGTTGGTCTGCGGAATACCAATTCCAAACCATATACGACCGATGGTGTCAAGGTATACAGAATAATTTGGATCACGTTTTATACTGATGGCATAGCAGTCGCGTAAGATTTTAAATCGCATCACATGCTTCCTGTAACAATAGCAATGTTTTATTAACACGTAGAATGAATTTTATAATGTTACTAGAAGACCCGCCGAACTTCGTATCGCCCTATAATCAAGTTTTTTTATTCATATTTTTGGAGTTTAACTATTTAAGCCATAAATCTCCGTGTTTTAAAGTGCGACAGAATGATTGACATATTAGTTAGTTGTCAAATCTAATGTCAAAAAAAAAAGTTTGTGTCAACAACTACAAATAAATTAAAAACACATTGTCGCGCCGACAAAATTGTGAATCTAAACCATCCCCAGATCCCCTTGAACACACACAAAAAAATTCATCAAAATCGGTTCAGTTCACTGACATACACACTCACAGAAACATATATAAAGATTTCAATGTATACTCACTCTTCGATAGCCTTCAATAGAAACCACAGGAAATTCAGCAGTGGGAATAAATAGGGTGGTCCTTTATCGTTTTTTATTGTTGGATGATTTTCTGTGTATTTATTGAAGGCGTCCGTAGCCATTTTGACATTCCTCAGACAGAGGCATTGCAGGACAGCCTGAGTTATGAACAAATCTATTTCAGACTTCAATCCCTTGGTTGTGTGTAGTTCTATCAGCATTGTCGCATAAGTAGCACCATCTCTTGAATGAAGAAAGTGTCTATGAGCTGCTGTGTATATCTTCTCCTTCCAATACACTTCAGCAATTTTCTGAAAATTATATTTAATTTTAATGCTCATTCTGATAAAATCGCCATTGTACATAAGTACTACTCGTCTTTTATAGTAGGATTATTAAAAATATCAAAATCAAAATCCATTTTTAAGACTAATATTATGCTCATAAATATAGAAAAATACAACTAATTTCCTATATTTTGAATAGTAAAATTCTGGACATATAAATCATATACATACTTCATTATAGAAACTACTACATGTATAAAAAACCATAGATTAAACAGTAATCCTCATTATAATGATTAAGATAAATTAGAAAAAATGAAGAAAAGAATGCACTGTATATATACTTTATATAGAGTGCAAAGAAATATTAAAACTTAACACATTAGATTACACAAAAAATATTGTAGTGAAGATAACACACATTATCTTTCATTAAATAAAGGCTATCTATCATTGATAGCAATTGAAGAAAAATATATGTTGACATCAATTACACAGCAAGCTTTCAAATTAATACTAAAATATGCCAGGATACTTTATTAGGAATTAATTTTTATACAAAACAGGTGTACCGGCTTCTGAATAGTAAGAGATCATAGTGGTCTGGTAATCCTACACTACCAAAGACATGTTTTCAAATACAACACGCTTTTATTGAAGAATCCCATACACTACACCATAAGGGACCACCCCCAAAGGAAAATCTAGTAAAAATGTGGATAGAGGCTTTGGATCTCTTATCAAGCGGGAGTTGGAATCTCCGCCAGTCAACTTATTTATCGTGAATTCAATTCTTCCGCACCCAAAACAGTGGATAGCGGCACGGGAACCTAACGTTCCGACTTGTGCAGCAACTTTCAGTGCATGGCCGCTTAGAGTAACATCTGCACAAAATCAGCAGGAGATTGGCGGCTATCTTCCACAGAGTCAGAACTTGCCGTGTGTGGTAAGAGAAGACGCGTTGAATCGAGGCATATCTCTGGAGCATAGATTTCCAGCACTGATGTTGGTAAGCCGTCAGGCCCACTCTAATTTTTGATATTTTAACAAAGCTGCTCTAAAGTCTTACCACACATTTATTTGTAAGATGATCATCTAAGACACAGAAACAAACTATCAAATGATTGGGGGTGTGGTGCTACCACCATTGTGTGAAGTCGAGTTAGTTTCAAAAAGATTAAGTACCCAGTAGCTCAACTTTGTCTTTTGCCCTCAGCCTTAAATACCATTGGCTTTCTGAAGGGGTGGTGGAGACGACGAAATGAAATTTTCCTTTGCAGCCTTAGCAATTGATCAAAGGGCTACCAGAGGTTCAGCTTACCTATACTAGTCTGTACTTGATGAGAGAATAGTGAAATATTTTTAGTGTAGTGGTCACAAAGATGGAATATTTGTGACTTGAAGTTCTCATTGTTCGATATTCTTATTGGAGAATTGACAGTTATGTTTTTATTATGGGTTAAGAATTTCCTTAGTTCAAAGCTAATTTACGAGCAGATCTGCTTGCAGTGTTAATGAATGGAAAAAAATATTATTATTAAATAATGCTTGTTCCCAATTGACATAGAGAAATAATCAATAATTGTTTTTTTTAACAGAAAGAAATGTTGTGCTAAACTTTAATTAATATATAAGTAGAATATATAATAATATCATTAACTCATCAACACAAGTGAGAATCAAACTTTTAAACTCAATCATGAATGCTTTTCTAATTAATTTAAAATAGGAAGAGTAACAGTTGACCAAATTAATATTTAAATGTCTGATGAATGTTTTGAGATTTACACAAATGTACTTCCAAAATCAACTTAACACTCTTAAGGGTGGATTTGTTTTATTGAAACAGATAAAAAATATTAAACTAGGTTAAAGATTGAAAATGTAAATAGGCAGTAGTGAAACTTTTTGTTTATAGACAAACAAAAATACATATGTAATAATTTTTGTTAATTTAACTATGTAGTTATATTTATAATATATTTATGTGCTTCATTTAAAAGCTAGTCAATCATTAATTTTCTTTAAAATTACATACTTTTGCATTTCTAATAAGATGGAATAATTATTTAATTTGCATAGCCAACCCAATTTGAGGTTTAAAATGATTTGTGATTTATAAACTGCCAAAGAACTCTACTTACCTTGTGTAGGAAGGGATGTCCTTTCTTATTTTCATCCATTGACCATTTCACAGCATTTGTGAGAAAAATCTCCCGTTCCGGTATACTCGAGTTCATTATTTCAAATAACTTTGCAATTTTCTCTATCCACTCATGACATGGAGGCATTTCTGATTTTGTAAGAACCTCTACTAGAAGTATAGCCAGATCCGCTCCACTACCCTGCTGATCGCGTTGTAGGAGCAAGGTGGATCCTTTGTACAATAAATTTAACAAATCCGCATACTTTTTTTGACCGAGATATCTAAAATTTTACGCACCTCATAAAGATCGGAATTTGTAACGCAGTAAAATATGAAATTGCGAGAAAATTACCTGAAATATAATGTTCTATACATCTGATGTGCCTCATAATATTGACCCGAATTAATCGATGCCTCCAATTTGTCTAACACTCTAGAGACTCCTCTCTCTCCACGGCCGGCCATGATTTGTTTCTTACTGTTGATTGTGTTAAAAGAACACTTTACATCACTTTAACAATTTATGATTTTACTATCAATCATTTCACTACCATCACCAATCACCACATGAAAATGAAAAGTCAGTTTAATGTCACTCGGTTTCTTGACGTAATGCTAACAAATTTAGAATATGGAACATTATTCCAAAAATACCTGAAAATGTTCTCTGTTTTAAAAATAGCCGGTTAATATCCGTTCAGAAATTATTTAAAAGTTTATCCTTAAATTTTTCTTAATAATAAAAAGAATAATTTTATCAACGTAGAATATTTCATAAAAATTATCTTTAAAGAAAAGTATTTTTCATAACCTTGGTCCGAGATGAGGTGTAATATGCATAATGAAACTATTGAACTATTTTGTAAGTTGTCTATGTCTATTTCTTGTTTCGTGTGTGATTGTGTCAATGTGGTAATTTCGGTCGTGTTTAGTACATATTGTTTGTTATACAATTTACGTATTTATATGTCAAATTATTTTGTATTTACAATATAAAAGAAACATTCCATATATTCCAAACATTTGCCATTCAGTAACGGACGAATCTACGCCAGTTAGTCTTAGAGGAGCCCAGCTGAGAGGATCGGGTATGTCCTACATTAACTATTTTAAAGTGTTATTATCTTGTTTTTTCGTTTTGCACAAGCGAAACTATTATATAAATTGAATAAAATAACATAATATACTTATTTACTTTGTTAAGTTTCCCTCTTTAATAGAATTATTTCGGCTACCTATGTTATATCGTTATTGTGTTCTCGTTACAGAAACATGGAAGCCATGGATATCCAGGCGGTGGAGTCGAAGTTGAGCGACGTGACGGTTACAGCGATCCCTATGAATGGTAAAAATAATCATAAAGACATATCTTTGGGTGGTAACAGTCACGCTACGATATCTACCGTGTCGGGTTCATCTCCGTCCTCAAACGGGAAGGATAAAGATAATGGTATGTCGAAATATGCTCAATTGCTAGCTGTCATTGAAGAAATGGGCAAGGAAGTCAGACCGAGCTACTCCGGCAGCCGTAGCTCAGCCGAGAGACTCAAGCGTGGCATCGTACATGCTCGTATTCTTGTTAGAGAATGTCTGATCGAAACAGAGAAATCAGCAAGACAGTAGCTTCATTTACCATAGTCCAGTTAATATTAGCACTCATTTGTATTTAATATAAAAGACATTTGAAAATTTATTAATTAATTATTTTTTGTTTGTACATGAAATAATTTACCGTCATATATAACACATATATAATATATATCATATTTTTTAAATCTTTAAACATATATATAATTATATATCTAATAAGACATTTGAAGCAGAATATTCAAATAAAATCAGGGTACTTAGACATTAATGTACAAACACACATTCAGTTTGACGGACTTTGATACGAGATATTTTTAAAACATATTTTGTAATAGGCAAGGTTCGTAAAGATCCCCAAAGAGACAACAAATCGCTTTACAAAGTATACCTTAGTCTCTAAAACCTTAAAATATTTATTAGATTTAATTATTATTAAGATTATGGCAGTTGAGAATCCTATATAGACAACAGACAGATATTTACACATATAAAGTTGTTTAATTGAGAAATGTTATTATATATAAGGAAAAAATAGTAAGTGATGTTTTGTATGTCTTTGGTTACAAATGGATCTTCGTTAATTGTCAGCTGAAAGATATTTACTCTGAACTGTGAGCATCAAATTCTAGGATGATTGTTTGATGATTGAATGCAATAGTATTAAAATCTTGGTGTATATCATGTTTGTCCCGTCGGCCAAATAGTATGTGGGTCCATCCAATGTACTGGATCTTGTCCTGAACAAAACCAGGCTGTGATCGCAACATTTATTGTGAACATCTACCTCAAAAACAAGAAAAAAAAAATGATATTTTTAAACATTAATGGTCAGTTTTATATTTAAGGACATTTTTTAGTTCAATGTGTTTATATAGTGATATGTTATGCGCAAGCTAGGAAAGTGATATTATGTTGTCTTAGTGGCAGGGTTCATTAAATTTACAACTACATATGTCATTGTAACCACAGTTGTGTCAATTAAAATAGAATTTTAGTGTAACCGGTAACAAGTAATAATTTGGAGAACTCTGCCAACTATATTCTTACTTCCCACGGTCTTATAATTAAAAGTAGTACTGTTAATAATTGGTATATTTCTCATAAATTTTAAATTTATTCATGTTAGTAATGAATAATTACATATATTACAAAATTTAACAGAATCCCATTATAAAGGAATTTATTTATTTTGACAATTTTTTTGAATGCTACATTTAATACCAAGACCATTAAGTGCATGACCTCAAATAGTATATTATAGTGTATAAGTAAAGATGTGCTCATTTTTTGTATTCAGTTAGTATTAAGTTGTACATATTTAGTTATAAATGTTACTCCTAAATGATTTAAATGCGCCATTTTAACGAAGTTACAGTGTCAAACAACTATTATGTAGTGAAACTAGCAATAAAAAATAAACTGATGTTGATACTTAAATACTTTTTCCATATTGATAAAATTGATGAATTTATTATAGTAATCATGTTTTCAACTCTACCCCACATATAAAATCCATCGGTTAGTATCAAAATACGTAATAAATGTTGTACTTCTCTAATCATATTGCGTATTAAGGATGAAAAGTAATATTTTCTATCTTTGAGTAATTCGTGCGTTTTCAACTTTAGCTTGGTCCAACTGCCGTTGAAGTATACTTGTTAGTATGTATTTAGGTTAAGGAGAATATACGAAATAGTTTTTATTAAATAAGTTACCATTAATTGATATTGTACTTACTATACGTTTTAAAGTCCATTTCGATTGTAGTTTTTTATATCTATATTATTATTTTTTTCATAAAATATTTCGATGTTTCGTTTATTTCTAAATCAAATTGTACAGATACCGAAATGTTTTATTATTTCTCTCATTTTATCTGTAATTACTCAACTTATTTGTAAGTGTCGAACCATAAAACAGTACAAATTTTAGAAATTTAGTAACGGGTGTTAAAATGTGAAATGAGATATATATGTTGAATATTCGCTTGTTAGCGATAATATATCGTACCGTATTTATTCCCCTATGGACTTATTTTTATTATAAATTAATAAATGTATTTAAAAATAGTTTGTATCGTTTTATTTGGTGAACCTTTGCCGGCTTAATACACATGACAGTATTTAACGATTAAATAAACAAACGAGAAGTTAACGCGAGTATCGGCGCAATGTTATAAGACATTGTTGTTTTTTTTCTCAAAGCGAACCTGCGCACTCGTTACTTGTTACACGATATCTCCATGTCAGCTGATTCAGAGAATTTTATACCCAACAAAAGACGTAAAATCATGATTATTAAAAAAGGTAATAATTATATTCTTAGGATAAACACGTTATATAGCGTAGATGTGGTCATATGTAAAATATTAACATGATACTAGTAAAATATTGCGTACTTACTTACGTTCTGGTATTCCATTTTTCTAGAAAAAATGGCGGTGAAGTGGACAACAAAGTGGAAGTGGCCGACTTACCTGAACGCGGATACTGTGGAGTGGTGTCCAATAGAGCCGTACACACATATACTCGTGTGTTCAACGTACCAGCTAGATACTAAGGATGAAGGTACCTAATTTTATTTCTAATGTCATCACTGCTATATCAGATTGCCGCCAATTTACTGTTTATCATATGAAAAAAAGTACCGGCTAATAATTTAATACATTACACTTCATTTCGTAAAGATGCTTATAAAATTTTATACATTTAGAATTGACATTTACTTCTTGAAAACTATACTATTAGTAGCCGGTTATGAAATGATGCAAAAATTTGAAATATCAATATTTAACAAATATAAAGAAAATAAAACATTTATTTACGAGCTTATGATATAATATGAATTTATTGTCTAGCTGCGAACGGTCGTAAACAAAGGCGTCTTGGAAGGATTAATGTGCTATCAATAACGGATGATATGAAAGAGATTGTTCCCATACAAACTATAGACGCATCTGGGGTGTTAGATCAGAAATGGTGCCATCATAAGGTTCAAGGTTACCCCGTGCTAGGACTCGTGACGTCTGAAGGATATTTGCAGCTCTTCCGTCTAGTTGACACCGATCGTTTGAAGTTAGAACTCTGGTTGGAAGGTCAGCTCGGTCGAGATGTACTAGCGCTTTCACTCGACTGGTCCACCAATAAAATATTGAACGAAGAGCCGCGTTTAATAGCCAGTGATACTTCGGGAACTATAACCTTGACGAAGGTTGTTGGGAATTTCATGAGGAAGATAGGGAAATGGAAATGTCATTCCTACGACGCGTGGGTCACCGCTTTCAACTACTGGAACACAGATCTGTTTTACTCTGGTAGGTTTTTATATTTACATATAAATCAAAGGTATATTTTGGTTGAAATTGATAATAAATCTATGTTTCTGATTTCCCCAGGTGGTGATGACTGTTTGTTCATCAGCTACGATGTGAGGACGCCGCTGCCTGTGCTAATCAATCAAAGTCATAACGCTGGAGTGACAGCCATTAAGAGCAGCGTAGACGTAGAATACCAACTCCTCACCGGAAGGTAGTTACATAACAATAACGATATCTACTACATATAACGACCAATTAAAATATTTCGTTCAATTACAGTTACGACGAAAAAGTACGTCTATGGGATACGAGGAACCTAAAACGCTGCATTTCAGAGTGCGAGGTCAATGGAGGAGTATGGAGGTTGAAGTACAATCCGAATGAAAAAAGCGTCGTCGTAGCGGCCTGCATGTACGGCGGCTTCAGATTACTCCGTATCAATAAAGACGTGAAAGTCATGTACGAGTATCTTGAACATGAGAGCATCGCGTATGGAGCCGATTGGAAATATGACGACAGATCAGTTGTAGCCACTTGCTCCTTCTACGATAGTATGATGCACATCGGAGAAGTCACATTTTAGATATTATAATAATCAATATAAATTATGTATAGTTAATATAATCCCCGTAGATTCAGGTTCAGTGTGAACCCTAAATAAACTTGTCCATTTAGAAATTTTAATTTTATATGTCATACATTTTAAAATAATTATTTAGTGCTGCAGTAACTAAGTTAATCATAAAGAGCTTAGATATTGATTTGCTATTTGAAATAAAAGATAAGCGAAGACAGTATTGTTTAGATGTAATTTTGAAACATTTGAGTAGCTTGCCAAGTCATGACAAAGTTGAGATATTTTGACTCCTAAAGTAATTCAATATTGATACATCCAAAAGTAGATGAAAAAGAATTAAATCGGAATATCTTTCAACATTTGAGATATTTACTAAGCAAGATCGCTGTAGATAGTCATTAATTATATTATACATATTAATTCCGACAGTTGTACTTTTTATAGAGTTAACTGTTCTCACATAAAAACATTTTGTACGGGCATTACCATTCAGTACTTTTAGCCTCACTTGTTTAATAGCTATTCTGAGCAAAACAAAATTTCCAATCACAGTTATTGCTAAATCCAAGCTAAAAGTATCAGTTATGCTAAGTCACCAATATTATATAAAAAATCATAAAGGTAGTTGAATCTTAAATAAAAGCATACCCTCCTTTTAAACATGTTGTATTTCAATTTGCTTATAATGTCATGATAAATATAATTTATAACACTTACATACTTAATAATTATTTACTGTAAGTGATAAAAAAATTCTTACACCGTATATGTAAGGCTCTGGGTGTCGTTCAATTAAAGATTTAAAAATACTAAACTGGCCTGATTTTCCTAATGTAAATTTGTACCTTATATTCACTAAATACAGTCTATCCGCCATAAATGGAATCAAAGTACGCAATTTATATCCAACATAAGAACAGACGCCGTTGAAATGTCCAAAGAAATTTATTCACCCAATAGATATTAGGTTCGAGAAACTCTGATAAAGTAATTTTTTCTTTTACAATTCTTAAAATGATTCAATATTCATAACTATGATTCGTATCAAAAAAACATGTATCTTGTACGCATAAAGTCGTTTCATAAATATAATCAGACGCACGTAAAAATTACAGACCAAAAAAATATTTCTTTTCAAAGACAAATAACTTATAACACCCATCTAACAAAATGGCATCAGGTCGATATGAAATATACTCCGTACATTCAAATAACCTTTTTATTATAATTCACTGGATTCAATTTAAATGTTTAATAATTTGGTAAAGATCTTCAACTATCTATTTAATTAAATTCTAAACAAGTTATACCATTCGTATTAATTAGATGCATTCATTAATAACTTCAACATACCAAAGGCAACTGTACCATAAACAATTTATAGACATTCAATATAAAAAAAAATTAAAATGCATTAAACAAAATGGCTCATCTCACATCGCCAGCGACATGTTGAATCATAAAAACGTTATGCCTCCATCATATAAAATACTGTTGAATTTGATTATACCATCTTAAATAAATGTGGTGTTCTGATGCTCCTATATACATTAAAACTATATTTACACAGAATACACGACGCTACATATGTAAAATACTCTGTACATATACTTTTAAGATTCATTTATATCAAACTGTCAGATAAATTACTTCTAAAACATTAACAAGTATTTATCTACATTTTCTATATTACATCTATAGATATCTAGTTAGTTAACTGTAATTTTGGGAATATTTAACAAATACTCCATCGACTTTTGTTTCTACCATGATTATTTTAATATAGATAATATTAAAATACTATGCCATGATCTAGGATTATATTGATGGCATCTTTATAATTGTGGATCCCAACAGCATTTGTCAAAGAAAAACAGGTTGCGGTTGTTAAAATTCTTTTATTTTGATTTTACAAGACAAAAGCCGAGAACTGTATATTGCATATATCATAACAATATAATATTTTTTTAGTCTTGATGGAGTATATTGTTGTACTTGCATCAGAACACCAATGTATGACATCGTTAAACCGACATCACACTAATACCATTACAGTATTAATCATTACTTCATTGAGTTTACTTCATGGTCATTTTGTTTTAAAATCATTCCAATCACATACAATCTTGGTGTTTCAACATAAGAGCAGATTTACATATGACTATTGTATTGAAAAATTTTGTATTAGCTTTTATTTAATTATGGATTATAGAAAAGTCTATAGCTGATGGATTACATATTAATATCTGAATCTGTTCTAAATACTAAGTTTGAGATTATTCTGCTCTATAAATATATTCATGATCAATCATCGATTGACCACCTCATTGATTTTATTTCCGGTAACAAGAGATTCCATCATCACTGATATAAATGGAGTATATTTAGACGTTGATTTACAATAACTTAGTGATGTAAGTACACCATAGTGATTAAAAGTTTAAGCGTACACATACAACATCCATAGCACTTGGTACACCAAGGGATCGTAGGAGTCAGATGGTCCTAGACACTAACATGATCAGGTAACGGGTCATATCATCACAAAACACAATCAGGTAACAGAGACACATCACTGTGGTAACACAACACTCGCTAGGCGTGTCTAGGGCAGAATGCTCTGAAGTCGTCGGTGAGTTTCCACGAGGTGGCGCAGGGGTAGTGAGTGGCGGCCTGGCAGGCCCGGGAGGAACAGGCTAGGGCAGCGCCCTGCCGACCGCAGGACCCGCAGCGGAGGCCTCGGGCTCCGCAGACGGCCTCCGCCAGGCCCCAGAGACGGGCCCCGGCGGCCAATAGACCTGGTGCCCATACACCGCAGGCCTCATGAAACCAAACCTCCGCACCCCCCGACGATGATGTGAAACGACGCTTCGATGACTCGTCCAAAGAACTGTTGGATACAATATTATATTAATATGGTTAGGCTTAATAAAATGTCAACATATAAGTATCTCAAAACCACATGAGAGATTAAGCTTTACTATAAATTTCTTTACTGTCTATTCTTAAGCTTAAAAACTATTATCCTACTAATATTATAATTGCTAAAGTTTGTGAGTATGTGTGTATGTTTGTTACTTCTTCACGCTCAACCGGCTAAACCGATTTTAATAAAATTTTGTATACAGGAAGCTGACGTCCAGGAATAACATAAAGGCTACTTTACATCCCCGAAATCCGCGGGGCGCAACTAGTGTTTAATAAATAACATAGGTTCTCTCAAATACTCGTCAAAATTCATCGTATACAACATATAAGAAGGTTTTTTTTTTCTTAGTAATTAAAGTAATAATTTAACAATCTATATTCTAAACACATTCGTAATATAATATACAAAATATTTTTATCTTCAAATAAAATATATTGTGGCAGTATCGTTGTATCAAGTGCCATTCAGAATTTATAGAAATTATATTTTAACAACCATTTTCCTGATAGTAAACAATAATAGAGAATCATGTAAAATATAGAATAATAGGAGATATGAATTAAATGTTACATTTAAATGTTTATCAGAGAAAGACTTATACGTCTTTATAGGTACATAAAAATTCTTGAATTTTTAGTACCATCAGTATAATCTATACTAATATTATAAAGCTGAAGAGTTTGTTTGTTTGTTTGAAAGCGCTAATCTCCGAAACTACTGGTTTGAATTGAATAATTCTTTTTGTGTTGGATAGTCCAGTTATCCAGGAAGGCTGTGGGCTATATAATATCACGCTACGACCAATAAGAGCAAAGATATAGTGGTAAATGTGTAAAAAACGGGAGAAATTATTTCATCTTTGAAGCCTTCCGTTGCGTGCGCCGTGAAAACGGTTCAAGATACACAAAAAATATGTATTAAAGAATAATAGCTCTTTTAATGATCTAAAACACAGTCCGCAACAGTATGTGTTTATCTTTTAAGATTAACTCGCAAAAACCGTTTTTATGGTACCTAATTTGGTCGATATAATTTGTTTAAGTTGTATCAACATAATAATATTAATCGGTTTTTATTTAATATTAATTGGTTAAGAGTACTTCATTGTGAATAAAAAAAACATAGATTTATCCTGAAAATTCTACGGGAACTCGACCATTCCGAAAACCCCGCAAGAACGGGAACTATGTGGGAAGAACCAAAAATCTGCCGGAAGTCACTATTCCACGCGGACGCAGTCGCGGCAAAAGCTAGTTTTTAATATCAGTCTTTCGCAAGAATATCACGTTAAACGATATACAGGGTGATTCTAGTTATTCCAAAACTAACACAATACTATAAAGTATGAAGATTTATAAATGATTATACTCTAAACACTGTATTTAGTACAACATAGGAACTTGTAATAAGAATACAGCTGTAATAAGTTAAAACTTTAAAATAATGTAACAATATATAGATACAAAAATACAAAATACAACCACATTGATCTATTTCAAAATAGTTGAAGTAAATTTTATAATCTTGTAAAAAAAACTCATTAGTAATTAATTAATAGTTGTATTTTAGATTATATCAAAATTAGTCCACTTCCCCGTATAAACAAACAGTAGTGGAAACTTAACTGGCATAAGTGTCAAAAATGATTATTATATCAAGTTGTAATATATGCTGTATGTTTCCCTAATAATAAATAAATAAACTTTCCAAGCATACATATCATTAACCCACCTATACTCCTCCGAGTTGACGTCAATGGGGTAAGGTCCGAACAGGTCTCCCAGGCCTGAATGGTGAGGTCCCCGCTCGCAGAAGGCGCACAGCCAGGAGGCGTCCGGTGTAGATGCGTCGTACCGCAGGCCTAGAGTACTCGCGTGCAGGCCCCGGGCCCGCAGGCCGTTCCTCCACTCATCAGCAGTACGACGCTCCTCCTCGCCGGCAGCAGCGTTGATAACTGACACAGAAACTGGAGAATCCCGCGGACCCACGATCTGGAAATTTGATTGAGAAATGATGGTTACTTATATTATATTTAAAGGTCTTATATACAATAAAAAATAATTATAGTGTATGAATATTTGTATTGAACTCCTGTTCAGATAATTTCACATTGATCATCTATACTCTATACAATGAAAATTCATTTCATTTTTAGAATCGTCATTTATAATGGTACTTAGCGTAAATTTTAGAACATAAAATAAGTTCATATTAAACTATAAAAGTATCTTGAATAACTCAGTTCTGATAGAATTTAAATCAAAGTTATGACAATTTAGATTCTATTTTATGAATTAATAAAAACAATATTTCTATGAGCCAACCTGTATATAGGGTCCCCTTGATCGACTGGAGCTCGCATTGCTGCCCGAGTCATACGCGTCTTTAACAGATTCTTTCTTCTTTTTATCAATTTTTTTCCTGACCGTCTTCCGTCTAGGAGCCTCATCGCCAGTTGAAGCCCTGCTCGCACGCTTGGACGCCTTCCGTTCACCTTTAGTTGGTGCTGATTTTCTTCGTTTCCTCGCCTTGGCCGTTTGTTTCTTTTCGCCGTCTGTCCTCTCGGAAGCCGGCGCTTCTTCTAAGCCGGCGAACATTTTCTCCAACTGATTCTCTACTTCAACGAAGCTAGCTGCTGTAGGCTCCGCACTCCTCGCTTCACTGGACTCGGGCTCCGCTGGTTTTGCTTCGGACGGTGATTCTACTGGTACGTTTGCTGATTCTGTGTTTGATGTTCTTGTGCTCCTTCTCCTCGGCGCGGCCGCCGCAGCCGGAGGCGTTTCCGGTTCCTCCTTTTTGGGCGACTTCTTCGGAGATTTCGGCTCCGGTTGAGGGCAGTTCTGTGTGGCTTGTGGGGATTTCACTTCCGGTTCAGGGCTCGCTAGGACACTTTTTAGCTTATCAACTGTGACTGGGACTTCCGGTTCTGGTGGAGTTGGGTCTGGGGCTGTATCTCTCCGCTCTGAGTCCGTGCTCGCGATCATAGCCGCTATATCGTCTATGGTCTCGGCGGAGCCTGATCGTGTTTTTCTTCTCGCGTGTGGTTCTGGTGGCTGTGGTGTGGGAGGTTTTTGTGGTCCGTTCTGTGTCGTGTGTCCCGTGTCGCCATTTTCTAACGGCTGTGTCGGTACTGGTAAAACTCTAGGCGGTGTCGCGGGTCGTGGTACTTCAGCGGGCGGGGGAGGTGGCACAGGAACACGTATTGTGCGCTCCGGTTTCCGTTTCCGTTTCGAACCCGGCGGTGCACCGCAGGAGTCCGCCGAATCCTGTCATAACAGATCAAACCAATATATTCAGGTTAACACAAATTACTTCTAGGGATGCAACTATTACAAATCCAACCCAAACACTATATTGCGACACTATTTTATTTAAAACGCTTTTAAGGTATAAACCTGGAATGCATACAAGAAACCCATGCCAAGAAACTGTCGGCCACTTACATACAGACTAACCTCATTAGAGGATGGGGGGGAGGGCGTTGGAGCGGCACGGGGGTGAACAATGACGGAGTGGGGGGAGACGGGGGGCGCGGCTGAGAGGCGCTCCAGTAAGGAGTCCACCCTCGCGTGGGCCGGACGTGTTCGGGCGAGCAGGCTGTTGATAGTGGGCGCATCGCGGACAGAGAGCGCGGGGCCCGAGTGTATTGTAGGAGACCCGTTCGACCCACGCGATCCCACCGTCAGGTCGACCCCGCCGCGCGCGTACGCCAGCAACTCATCGGCTCGAAGGAGTTTTTCTGGAGATTTAATATACAATATATTATTATCAAATATAGATGAAATCTTTACTTATATATCCTTTCAAGTCCCAAAGTCAATTGGGTCAGGATTTTCTTCACACATTCATTGATTAACATGCAATGTTACACATCTAGTATGTTTTCTTCAGATTCAAACATAACTTTCTTGATGAAAATCTATCTTCAAAATAGTTTTCACTTTTACAAAGAATATATACATGAATTTAAGTCTTTAAGTAAACCACTAAGTGACACATTTCCTTGTTACCTAATATACAGGGTGACTGGTGAATTACTATCGATATTTGAGGACGTGATATTTGACGATCATATATGACATAATAAAAATTAATATAACATAAATATTAATAAACTTCTAAGTAAAGTTAACCAAAAGTTATGTAATTAATTACGCATCGTGTGAACACCCTACAGATTAGGTATACACACACACACATACGCGTGAGGGGGCGTGGTGTTGTATCAGCACGCCGCCGCACGCGTCCACACTTGGAACACTTGGAACGTGTCAACACTTTATTTATTTATATGGAAATTTTGTCAAAAATTAAGTGCCTATTTTTTTTACATAATTCGAATGAGAATCATGTACCGAGTATTCTCCTTAAATATTGATAGTAATTCACCAGTCACCCTGTATATAATTATAAAGTTATATAAACTAACCCCTCCCTGGTCCTAAATGAGGATACAGATCACTCGGTGGGAGAGCAGCGCCCGCCTTGACGTCCCCCGGGGATGGAGTATGTCTGAATATTGTTAACATTATAATAAATTACTGATACATGATTAAAATACATAAAATAAGAAAGAAATAAATTTCATTACAGCAAACAAAAATTAAAGAAAAACAACAAAAGTAAATGAACTATTCTAAATTTTTCATATAAAAATCAATTGTATATTTTAAATACTAATATATAAGAAGCACTACATTTTATATAAAACAACAATGTTCACCAAATATTTTACTATACCGTCCATACAAGAGTATTTCAGCCAAATCCAATGCTATCTCAGCAAGATTCATAATTAATTAATATATATAAAAATTTACCGCATCAAATGTTTGTCCGGAGGTGTTGGTGTGTGTCTGAACAGTTCCGGTGGAGTGGCCGTGTGCCTGAACACCGAGTTGGCACCCTTCATAGCCTGCAACGTCAAAAGACCCTACCATAGTCGGATAGACTTGCGTTAGCTATGTCGGATGAGGTGATACATTGTTAACAATGAACTAATCTATGTATGTACATGCATGATATTTATGTTAACAACCACAAAATTAATATATCAGAAGTACTATAGAAATTAATATTGACATAGTTCAAGTTATTATTAGTTAGTTATGATAGTTAATTTAAATGAAACTAATATTTTACAGATATACTACAGGTGCTTTCACATCTCGTCTACCAGTGACTACAATTGCTGAAAAGTAGCCGAAACTTCGGGAGTATGTATTTTTTTACAAAAATAAAGTGTGCAGTATATCCGAAAAATATTAGTTTCATTTAAATGACTCGTGAAAATCTTAGATCTCATATGATATTTAAGTTCTTATGTAGTTCCCGAGTAGAATAACGTAATATATCTCACTTGTAACGGATCAGGAGGTGATGGGGCTGGTACATGGTATAAATGTGGTGGTGGGGTCGGTGTGTGCCACGTCAGACCTCGCTCCGAGGCCATGTGCGCTTGAGGAGCTCGTGCCAACAGATTGGCCACCTGTAACTGAGCAATTAACATTTTTATGTATCTGTAGATAGATATTATGTTTATATAGATGTGTTATCTTATATTCCTATATATGTATATCTTTTGTGTACACTTTTAACATATTTTATATAAAAATATTAATATTAATATATATATATATATATCTAGTTAGTATTTGATAATACTATTGGGACATTAAAAGAAACAATAAATTAAATACCTAATTATCCAAAATTATTACACATAAATTACGTCATAAATTCGTAAATAGCAGATTTAAATTTAAGTAACAGAATCTTTAAAATAAATGATAAATTTATAGAGAGGATGACTAAAATAATAATATAAAAGCAAGAAAATATGTTTAAAAAATTGTTTCAAAGTGCAATTTGTTCATTGCAAGAAGCAAACTTTTAATTTAACAAATATACTGAACATCATAAAGATTCCTTAATATAATAAAATAAACATTTAACCAAAACATAAACCAGTTATTATTATATAAGTAATTAATTTAATTTCGGAGAGTATGATAAAAATGTTAAAAAACAAAAATATTATCGAAACTTTTTTGGTACATTATAACATAATGGCAACATTCATACAAACTGTGTCAGGCAATGCTTTTAAAAGGGTTAAACAGCTGATTCTTGTATTACAACACTCGACGAAATTAATATTCATTTTTTATTAAATTCAAACACTAATAACAGGTTACGATATAATATTTACATCAATAACAGCGCTTTCGAACACGAAAATACACGATTCAAAACAATGTGAATATATAATAAACGATGTTTATTTATGAGTAATAAATTAGAGTTACGATAAACTTCTAGATTTCGTTGAAAGTATATAGGGTTGTGTGAAATATACATATAATCAGCACCTGTAATGGGCTCCAACCCGCTCCCAGTTGCGATTGTCTTCCATTAGGGTTGTGTTGCGAGCCACCGGACATAATGCACGGAGCCTTTGGCGCTGTTTACAAGGCGTGTTTTATTCCGATTCTATAACAAACACTCTTTCAGTCCACCATAATGTTGCCGGCAACTTTGAAGCCTTCGCCCGCGTAACTGCGCTCCTTACGACGTGTACAGAAAAACTAAATCGTTTTCATATGCGCATGTTATAATTTAACGAATCCATAATAACCATTGGACATCGTTAACAGGCAACAGCACCAAAAAAATGTAAATAACAAACTTATTTGAAAGAAAACCACATTTATTTAAAGTACGGTATGGTGTTCACAAATCTGAAGCTCACTTCGCGTGACATTTTGAAAGCATTTTAAGTTTGAAAATATACACTTAAATGAAACTATTAGGTTAGATTTTGGTGTAGTAATCACTGGTCACTCTATCTTTTGAAGATCTGTTATAAATATCACCGAAAAACTATCACAATGATAAAAATTATTACAAACTATGCACAAGGATCACATCCAACAATGGCCGATTGGGATTTTGAATGCTTATACAGCGCCATCTTGCGAACAGACAAAATTTAAAAACCGACGATAAAGCAGTAAAACGGAAATGTGCACAACTCTTTTGTCTTTGGCTTACAAAATTTTAAAATATATATACCCCAATCGGAATTATGTTTTTATGAATTTTATGTTCACATAAATATAATAAATACTTAACAATAAGTTAAATACAAAAGAATATATTTTAAAACTTATCACTATGAGGTTATTAAAGTGTACATTTAGTGCGTCATGTGGCAATACCTGTTGCCTTAGTAACGTTTGTTTTGCTTTTCTTCAAAAGGTGACCTTGTCTTTTAATAATTTGTTATTAATATATGAAGGAACAATGAGAGAGGGCGAAGTAACTAAGTTTTTAGTATCTTTCAATGGTAACATAGAATATGTGAGGTTTCCGGCGGGTGTATTTGATGAGAATCTATATCTTCAGTACGATGTAGTATGGGGCCCTGATTGGGACCCATTATCTGGTTTAAATTCGGGAACAAGCCAAATGGCACGCTCAGGGAATGATCCGGAAAAAGTAATCTTTAATATGCCGCTTGAAATTACATTCTCAAGCACTAATGTTTACGGATGTAAGAAAACGTTTTAAAAAACGTTAAACTAAGCTGTTAACTTTCTTGTGAGAATTTAAAATCATCTATTAAAAACAAAATAAACTTAGGCTCAAACTCGAAAACTATTTAACATTATTATGCCAACTACATACTCTTTTTAATTAATATTTATTTAACTCTTAATTTCTGTTGGACACTTACTATTTATTTATACATAATACAGGGCCTCAAATCGTGGTATCAGTAAGGGCTAGGAACTTCATAAGCTCCGATTCTCTGCGAGGCTACGCCCTGTTTCATTTACCAGCTGTTACCGGCACACAAGAGCTGGTGGCTCATCTAGTGAGGCCGCGGTCGGCTAGTCTGGTGGGGGAATGGGTAGCGTGGCTCACTGGTAGATATCCAGAATTAATAGATCCAAAAATACTTGCTAGCGGAAAAGAGAATTATTGTGAGTGTATACTTATTTTATTTCTCCTTAAATTGTCTTAAAACTACTAATATATGCTTAAATAAAGAAATTATAATGGATTTAACTTTTGATGCTAACTTCTACGGCATTTAAATTTCGATATCAGCGTTTAAAAAAACGCTGCGATTAAACGCTGATGTGGTAAAGCTCTAAACTAATTCTAATTATATTGTTTCAGTATTAAAAACAGAGTCGTACGGCACAGTTGTCATGAGAGTCACTATGGTATCAAAGGATCTTCGGAAACTCGGTTACGATAATCAGCCATCTTAGAAAATAAAATAAGTTAAAATTAAATCTGTTTTTATTTTAAAAATCCTATATTTTTGCATGTTCACTGTTTATAGACGAAGAATTTAAAACCATGTAGTGTTAAATAATCTCTATACAATTACTATTTACAAGTAATTGCACTTAAAAAGAACAAATTTGGTTAGGTAGAGAGAGGAGCTTGGACGGTGGAGGTGAGCGTTTAACGCGCGTTAGATAGGGGTCCCTTAAACCTACACCTGGGTCACAAGTCCCAGGCACTGTTGAAGCTCCTCTATCTATAACGATGGACCCGACACCCGCACGGTGAATACATTGAATCATGAGAAGTTTCATCTTGTCTATTGATAAATTCTTATAAAGAAATAGTATGGTCAAACTAATATTAATGATTGTGTGGTTTTAATAAGTATTGTGAACGTCAAAAGACACTTTATTTCCTTCAAGGAAATGTTAATAATTATATTTTGAGTTAAGAACTCCTCATTACGTTTGAGCGGATAAACCCACCATTTATTGTCAATGTATATACATACTAGTTTTAGCCCGCGACTGTGGCCGCTTCGACATCAGAGAAAATTGTATAGTTTTAAAACAATACATATAGTCACCTACGTGTCAACCTACGAAACATTGACTGCAACGCAATCTTGGCCCCCACTCATATGCATACAAAAAATTCATACAAATCGGTTCAGACGTTTAGAAGGAGTTCAGTGGCATACACAGTATCAACAGTAATGAGAAATAAATAAATTTTTATTTTAGCGGTACGAACTACTACTACTATGAAATATCGAATTAAGATATTACAAAAGTTCTACACTAGTGAAGTTATTTATTTATTAATGAAAATTTATTTATTTATGAAAAAAAAAGTAGTAGAATAACCTGAATTTAATCAAAAAAATCTCCATTTCAAACAAAAAATAATGGTATAATATAAATTTGGGATTTTTAAACCGGTACGTATATTTACCATAATAACCAAATATATATGTATAACCAAAATATAAATAATCTGTAATAATTAGGTAATATTTACTCACAGCTTCATATTTAAAATTTTAGATTTTTGTACTTAATTACATTATTTATTCGTAAATTAAAATAACAATGTATTAAACTTACAGTCTTTCTAATCTAATCTTTGAATAATCCGTGGCTTTTATGAATTTTATTATTTATCAAAGAAACCTGTTTTGAATTTTCAGTTTACATACTAAAACAACCCAATATTCGTCATCAAATTAATAGTTAAAATTAATTTCTTGAAAAGCATACCAAACTACATAAAACATACTAAATATACCCAGAAATCTATTTTTTTTTATTTTATAAAACATAATTACAACTTTTTTTATTACGTTGCTTATAAAACCTGGTATAGGTACAGGAAAAAATAATACATTAAGTCTCTATGGGCCTTTTTCAACTTATTATTATCCTTTTATGTTTATTATCAATTAATTTTTTATTAAGCGGTGCTAGGCAGGTTTTTAAAGTATTAATTAAACAAAAGAATTTTCATATTTAAGGTTATATTGACGGTGCGAAACTTAAGATCTTTTTTATTACTCTGTTAATTCACTTTCAGAATACAATTTGTAATTTGGCTTTTGTTTTTTATTGAATAAATATGTTTATGTGTCTACTATGTAATGATTTGACATTTGACATGCAAAAATAACATAAAAAATTCGACTTATTTACACCAATTTTTCCCTCTTTTTATTACGAAAAAACAACTGACTGATTGATTTATGTTTATTTTGAGTATAATAGAATATCGTGAACTGAATGATATTTACATTTTCATGATAAGTGCCCTCATACAATGTAACAATTATATTGAAAATCAACATAGAATAGTAGTAAAAAATTAGAAAAAAATATAGCAAAAGTAAAAAGATATATGTAATTGTTATGGAGATAAAACACGACTAATAGAATGATTACACTTTTTCAAGTCATTATATGAATGTAGTAATTATTTTATTGTTTACGAGTATTATAAATGTATCATAAATAAATAATCTTCTAAAACTTAAAGGCTAAATCTTTTGAAATTATCTGTTTATTTATCTAATTAGACTAAAAGAATCTAATTTTAAGGTCAAAATTTTCACTGAATTGTTATTTTTCGTATAAAGTAGAAAAAGTTTCAACCGTCTAAAAGTTTTTAAATAATTTCAAATAAGTATTTATATTAAAGTTTTCTTTTATTATTGAAACAAGTTGTATGCCAGTATTAGTTTATCAACTTTTTATTTAATAAGTAGATTTGTATTTAAATTAAAGAATTTGTATATTTTTACGTTATGTGACGACGCAAACTTTAAGCACACTGATGTAATTTGTTGTTGTTTGGTTTACAATCTTTTCAATGTACTAAGAAAATAGTTTTAGAAATTAAAAATCTCATGGAACTTCCAACAAGGTTGCTTTAAACGTTTTACCTTCCTGGGGGGATAAAATGAGATTGAACGAGAAAGAATGCGTGACGCTCGAACGTATGCGGGTAATCAATTGTGACTTGTAAGTAATGTTAGCAAAAAAGTGTTTAACAAAAATTGTCTTAAAATTCCTTAGAAATCAAATTCTACTCCTTGATTTCACTCCAACATAGAGAAGTCTTACTTCTCCCACGCGGAGGGAATCCACCCACAATTTTTTATTTTGTTAACTGTAAACCTCACTTCCTTTTATTATTATTTTTGACTTTATTGCATCTGTTAGCCCTTGTGGCTTTGACAGTGGTACCAGGGCTTCTTTGAATTCTTAAAAGTCCATGATTACCCCATATGAAATAGTTTTTAAATACTTTTTCACGTGGAAAGTTACATTTAAACTTTTAAAGTTAAACATATTTTGTCTTAATTTTTTCTTTTACTGTAAGCAGAAAACCTAGAAATCTTCAATTTGATTTAAAATAAGGGTTTAGTTACATCATTAACGTTCGATAAGAGACTAAAGATATTTCCAAATTTATTAATTCCGTGTATTTTTCAAGAACAACTCAAGGAAAACTATACTTCTTTTTATACTATTCCTAAAATTTTTCCTATTGATTTAGCAATTAATGTAAAATATTTCGATGACGTAAAACCATTAGAATTTTGAAGACTATTTCGAGGAAAAGATTTTATTCGTTAATTTCATTTAGTTCCGTCGTGACATGGAATAAAGCCAGCATTTAATGTAAAAATATCTTTCAATTCAGATAGCATTTGTTTTACAAAGAATAAGGTCGGAATATAATTCCTTCATAATATGTAGGTAATTATAATATGATTGGTTTGTCATTTTATTCATATTTATGCTAAATTTGACAACTTAATATGATTTTCATAAAGATTTAAAGTTTTATAAGATGTTTTATGTACAGATCAGTCTTACCTTTAGTTCTAACATAAAATAAAATAAAAAATTAAAGGCTACTAAGGTTTACATTTACTTTCAGAAACCTAATGTTAAACTATGCTTAGTATATACAAAGTGGAATACTCAATTAATTACGTTAATACTACATATAATGTGAGAAGTTTTGTAAATGAAAAACTGCTAGTAATGGAATTTAGTTTTAGATGCAAAATTGGAATAACGCAATAATTTTGAGGATCCTCTAATTTTGCTGTAAATTATATATAACATTTATAGGAGCGATTTTCAATAGAAGCCATGACTATCATTTCACGAGATTATGACGTCAAATGTATTCAACAAGCAAGTATTGATGAGTCTATTCCTTAAGTAGCGATCTTAACTTAGAGTTCTTTTAAATGAAAGGTTTTAAATGCGAAGAGCTCATAGCAAAAGCTTGAATATGGATATTCTCCATCTATATGGTTCTTCTGGCACTATCCTCAAGAAGAGAGGATTCAGAAGATAAAAAAATATAAGAGATAATTCAGAAGAAGAATTATTAAAATATCATCATCATTATACAGAAGTAAAGATAAGAGCAACAGATTAGCCTTAATGACTTGGCTTTGAACTGAATCTATGTCTCAAAAATGTATTATTGAGGTAATATTTAACATCAAAATTGTATTTTTTTTAGACTAGTAACTAATAATTAGTTCATCCAAAATATTTTAGTGTCATAAAATTTGATATAAGGAAAAGGCGAATTCTAAACGAAGCTTTTACTTGACAACCTGTTTGTCCTGCGCACGCGCAACGCCAAATAAAACCAGTAGCTCTCGGACCGCCGAGCGAGTAACATTGTTCTAGGTTGTTATAATATGTCGAATTTAACATCGATAATTTAATATTTTTTAAAGTGATTTGAAAACTTAACGTTTGAGGTACGTATATTTATTTTTAACGTAATATTTTTTTGTAACATTTTGTTAGGACTATTAAAATATTATATTTACAAGTTTTGTACCGCAACTTCGCTCGCTTAATTTGATTTCATTAATAAATCAAACCAAATATATTTCAGTGTTTATCTCATTTAAATATTATACTTTGATTTGATTGCAATAAAAAGTATAAACTTGTTACGAGCGACGTTACAAATTAATTTGGATTTCGATATATTATAAACAATTAATTTAAAAGAGTCATTATTGCAAAAAAATATTTAATTTATGACTTACATAAATTTAATTTAATCCTAAGTTAACATCAAAATTAAGCATAAAATAGTTTATGATCGTTTCTCGTAAGTACCGATTTATTTTAAGTAATCTATCCTTCGTATGGTACTTGCAACATCCTATCATTTTTGCGGATAATTAAATGCTAATATTATGTATAAATTATATAAAACAGTCATGATAAAACGCTAAGTTTTAGTCCTTAATGTGCTTGATGATGTTGTAATTAATTAACGATAGTACGAATTAAGAAACAGGTTCTTTTATTACGTTTGAAGTGGATATATACATATATATATTTCCACTATTATTAGTATCGTCTTGAGTCATATTATGTATTTAGACATCACTGATAAATGCATTCCCAAAAGAGGGTTGATGTCAGGCAGGCGGCCC